GATTTTAGGCCTCTTTCGAGACGAATTTCTTCTAGATAGCGGGCACTTCAGAGGCTGAAACTTCGGTCATTGGAAAAGCTGAATGTTAACTTGTTTAAGATGAAGACAAAAAAGTAAGCTTTTTGGAGTGAAAATGAATCAAAGATTGATTGATCTGCATTTAGTGGGTTTTTGCCTGTTTTCTTTCTTAACTTTTAACTGGAGCGCTGAAGAAAATTTAGCCGTGAACAATGAAGAAAATAGGGTGTTTATCTCTCGGAATTATCGGTCTGATAGTTCCCCCTTGATGTTCTTAAAATTAGCATATTTGCAATTGCCCTCGTAGTCTCGCTTCTTGGGTAAATATTTGTTTTGAGAACATCAAATTTCCGTGGGGCAACTATCAGCCGATAGCTCCTCGACAGAAACACTGTATTGTTTAAAATAAATAGAAATTTCCAGCTCATAATCTAATTGTTAAGTAGCACCCATGCCAATACGGTCATCGCGTTCGGTAATGAGAAGTCAATACTGAGGGGCCCCCGGGCACTGAATTGTTCAACAGCAGTGCGACGTCAGATAATAAAAACTAATGATCCACTTAACAAAGAATAATGCTTGACATGACGGAAACACTCTGCTTCAGACACAAACCTACTTTATTCGTTATATTGTGATACACGCGGATAAAGTTTGCAAGACTTGCAGAGAGCTTTCACAGCAGAATGTTGGAAAACACAGGGCCCGACGAACCACAAGTTCAACTTATTGCCAGGGAAAATCGTGATCCTATGAACAGGAACTCGTTCTTGGAGGTATGGAAATAGCAGATTCGAGTATTTACTACACAAAGTTCTATAAGTCCAGTCGATCAGGTCGAAACAACTGACATGTTGCACATTTCGCCAATATCAAGTTTCGGCAGCCCAAATCGATGCTCTTTGCAAGAACAGTGAAAATAATTCATGATTATTTCTGTGTAGATAGATTATCATTTGCTTTTAACTTGAGTCGACCAAACACCCAGACGGCTATTTTTCCGCTTTCGAAAATCGTGAGTCAGCATTAAATTAAATCTACCATGATGGATTTCTGAGGGACAAACACGGGAGGGAGGCCTGGTGGAATAATACTCCGGACCTTTTGGATAGATCGGTCTAAGTTGGAGGTCTGACCGGGAACAGAGTAATTGCTCAAGCTTCCGTAGTTTGCCTCCACGACGCCTCCGGACACACATCATGACTAAATTGACTCTAAATTGGGCGCGCTGCAATGAACTMGAGAGTGAAACCCGAAATGATAATTGAAGTATTTGTAATTCATCCTAGGTTGATTTCACTGATGTAATAGCAGAGCCTGATGGGTTTCATTCTCACGAGCGTTTGTACAACTGCGCCTTCCAGACCTTCAACTGTACCAAAAATTGCTGCTATCTGTTCCTAACGTTCCTGTGTGGGGGTCCCCTGGCTTTCTGTTTTGGTTGTTACTTTGCCTGCTTGGGATTTGAATACATCTGGTGTGTGATGCCCTGCACTCAGGCGTGTCTGATGGGAATCAGGTGGATCGGAGAGATCTTTGGTTACTGTATCAAGGCTTTCTGCGATCCCTGTTTCGACTCCATCGGAAGGATGTTTTCTAAAATTCATGTAAAGACCGAAAACGTGTAACTGTTAGCAGCGTGAACCATCATTTTCTGTCATCTCTAGCCTCAATTGTACTGCATAACACTTAAAATTTTAATTTACATAACTGCCTCTAGGTTCGATTTCGGCTCGTTTCATGAGTCCGATCTTCGTTTCTCTCCAAGAAAAGGGGCAAGAGGGCGGGGTCCTTTCCCCTACAGCGGAAGTAATCCAGCCTAAATTATAAACTGCCTCCAGCTTCCCTCCTACTAAAAGCATATCTGGCAACGGCTGTGTACAGTTGTTGGATAAATAAGAAAATAAATAAACAGACCAAGATCTGTGCACTGCTTAGTTCTCCTTCTCTGTTTCTGAGTGACTAAAAACATATGTTCCAAAAGTTCTACATCTACATCTACATTAGATTTCTTCGGTAAAGTCGTTAGAATTCTCATCAACGTTAGGAAACGGAAACGTCT